CAACTGGCAGGATATTTAACAGGAGAAATTACGATTCCAGGTCATAAATTCTTCACGAATTTCATTCCGCGTACTCTGGTAGACAGTAACTATGCCTTGCATACAGATGTGCGAACGATATGTGCAGATGTCAGAATTTGAGAGAGGTCATGTAGTTGGGCACAAAGAAGCCGGTTGGTCTTACCGGTGAATAGCTCGACATTTGAGCAGGAGCGATGCCACTATTAGACTGTATTGGCAGGAATGGGTGAACCATGGCCGCACACAACGTCAAGAAGGAAGTGTTAGACCTAGAGAAACGACAGAAGGTGAAGACCGAGCAATCGTCAGAGCGGCACTCACAACCCCAGATGCATCATTACCATCGATTGTAGTGCTTCAGTGACCGTAAGGACCATTCATAGACGGCTCACAGAAAAGGGGCTGAGTTCAAGACGCCCCTTGCGCCAACTACGATTGACCTCTGTACAACGTCAAGCCCGTTTGCAGTGGTGTCGGGCTCATTCGCACATGAAATGTCATTGACTGGAGTAGAATAGTTATTAGTGATGAGTTCCGCTTTGAACTGAGCCCTGATGACCAGCGAAGGAGAGTCTGGAGATGCCCCAGAGAGAGGGGTGATACTAACCTGACTGTCTTCCGGAAGACAGGCCGACAACCAGGAGTGATGGTCTGGGGTCTTATTTCATTTCATAGTAGGACCCCTTTGATCACAATCTTACGATATATCCCTTAGTGCACCAATCCGTCGCAACCTTACAGCACAGCGATACGTCGACGAAATTCTAAGATTCGTCGTGTTGCCCTATATGTCACGCTACCCTCAGCTTACATTTCAGCAAGATAATGCCCGTCCTCACACTGCACATGTTTCTACTGCTTGCCTTAGTGCTTGCCAAACATTACCTTGGCCAGCAAGGTCTCCAGAGCTCTCTCTTATTGAGCACGTTTGGAGCATTATGGGCAGGGCCCTCCAACTAGCTCGGTATGTTGACGATCTAACGCGCCAGTTGGACAGAATTTGGCTTGATATCTCTCAGGAGGACATCCGCAACTTCTATCAATCAATGCCAAGCCGAATAACTGCTTCCATAAGGGCCAGAGGTGGACAAACGCGTTACTGACTTTTTCACTTTGTGAAGCTCTATCACTTCAATAAATCATCCAATTTTTCTCAAACTGTAATCATTTGGTTTTTTTGTACATGTACATCACTTTTTCAGATCTCCCTTCTTGGGGCGTCTTTTTTTTTTTTTTTTTTTTTTTTTTTTTTTGTTTCCGTCTAAGAGTGTATAAAAAATCAATTGAAAATTTTTAGATAAAAATTTAGAAAATCAATAAAAATAATTTGTCTTCCACTTCATGTCAAGTCTGTTACCTTGAGATTATTTTATTCCCAATTAGTCTGTAAATCTGCCTAAAAATGGGGAGTACATATTCAAAGTAGTCAAACTTAGCTTCACTAGTATATCTATATCACTGAATATGTACTGCCCCTTTTAGACAGATTTATAAACTAATTTTGGGTAAAATAATTTGGATTTTTATTTAAATTGTACTACAGTTAGCTTTTTACTATTCTTCCTTTTATGCTTCATTTTATCACATACTCACTCAGTCCAGACATATATGGAAATTTTATGCCAAATGGCTTAAGTTAAACTGTGAAGTAAAATAATAATCAGCATGACTCATAACAGAAGCTTGGCTGTTGCCACTACAGTTGTTTGCTTAGAGACAGAGTTAACGATCAGAACAGATGTGAACAACTGATGTTGGTAAGCGTTGAAAGTTATTTGCACTTAGACCAAGTTGGTGTCATAGCTTTGTCAATTTGCTGAAATTGTAACCCAGTTAGTATAAAGTATTTAATATAAAGTTTAAATAAGTCACTGAAGTACCACAGATGATAGATTGTTTTGCATTACTTTAAGTCTCATTAGCTGAAAGGAATAAATTTTTACGTTTTTGGTGTTTTACTTTGCATACACAATAAACGTAAATGGAAAGGAGATAACTTACCTTAGGATGTAGAGATAACTTCTAAAGGTGAGCAGTTAGTTACAAATAATTAAATTACATAGTTTGATACTCTTAGTCATAATAGATTTACATGGTGACAATTACAGTTAAAAAAATTTCTAAAAAATATCCATTGAAAAAGGCACTAAGAACATTTTGCTGCAGTTATAATTTATGATAATGATTCTAAAATGATATTAGTATAACTATACATTAAAAGCTACAACAAATTTATGTTTTGCAGCAACAATAAACAACAAAATATTTATGCATCTTTAATTGAAAAATTTCCAGATATTTTAGCTAATTTACATCTATTTCTGTCTCTTTAGGATCTAGTTAGATATTTTATTTGTCTCAATAAATAAATAAATGTTCCCCCTAGTCTGTGCTTCATCTCCTTATTTGTTAATATTTTAATAATGTACCTTTAGAGAATAATTCTCTCTCTCTCTCTTTATGAAACCAATTTCTTTTTCAATAAATTATGTCTTCATTTTAAAATTTTCAGATTTAATTAAAGATTTTTGTTATTCTAAAGAACTGTACTTAGAATGTATAGAAGAACCTGCTAATTTCATTTTTCTAATAATATTTGTGTTGAAAATAAACATGAAATGATATAAGGTCAAGACCTGCGCCACAGCCAGTGCAGAAGAATTTAGGGCAGGTACACACGCACGTATGGCACAATGAAACATATATTATGAATCTTTTAATTCACTGTTGGTTTTTCAATTTTTAATTTTCTTGATTGCTTTGATACCTGTGTTTAGTGGAAAGCTAAGAAAATAAATGGAAGATAAGCATATTAAGAGAAAGATTTCTAGGATCAAAAAGAGAAAATGCAAATAATTTTCTTTTCACTGTTCTTCCAAAAATTCTGCAAAAGGTAAGTAATTCATCACAAATTTCTTAAAAAATACATCCATTACATGTTAATAATCATGAGACACTTCATTTCGTCACATTTTTCCTGAAACTGTTGGCCTATAAAACTTGCCTTCACGATAATAATAATCTATAAATCTTGCCTTTAGACCTTCCAAGGTGCAATCCAGAAGAAAAGTTAAAAAAAAAAAAAAAAAAAAAAAAAAAAATCACTACCAACTCAGTAAGAGCAAAATCCAGTAAATTTTTGAAAAAAATTCAGAAAAGAGAAGAGTAAAGTGAATTTTTAAGAGAAAACTGATACACATTTAAATATTCTGAAACAATTACACGGAAAAAATTCTTAACATGAATATATATATATATATATAAGACAAATGATATTAATTTTAAATAATTAGAGTAGCATTTTGTTTTTTTTTCTAAGAAGCATTTTGGGAACTGTGCTTAGCATTTAAATTTTTCAGAACCAAAATATTTCAAAGTCACCAAAATAGAATTTTTCGGAATCAAAATATTTTTATGTCACCAAAATGCACAGTAATGTTACTTTAAAATATGGCAGAAGAAAATAAAAATATTTTATTTTAATGTTATTTCTTAAATATAATTTTTGTTATCATTATTTATATGATATTTATCAGAGTTATTGTAAAAAATCATCAACATTCGCAAATCTCCATATAAAATTTTTTTTTAATACAAACTGATTTTGAAATTACCAAAATTGATAAGTTGTCAAACTTAGCGCCACATAATAAAAGAATTCCAAAAAGGGAAAGTTGTGTCTGATGTGATTTTTTTTTTAACTCTTCATTCACAAAAAGAAAATTATTTCAAATGCTTGTATTTCAATCAAGGCAGGGCCTCATACCTCAAACTCGAGTATCAACCATTTCTATTATGAAGTAGGAAATAATTTAGGCGCTAACACATCGAACATATATTTGTCAATATATCATCACCAAAATGTATTCCTCCAAAACTCATGCTCAAAATGGCAATTGTCAAAAAAAAAAAAAAAAAAAGAGAGACAGATGCAAACAATTAAGGACCTTTCGTTGGATTTTACTAAAATTAATTACTTTTAAGAATCAAAAATTGTTTCCAAAAATTCTAAGGACTTTTAAATTTTTTAAAAAAAAAGAGACAAGAAAAATTTTTAAACAAAATTTTTGGAATTCTAAGGACTTTTAAATTTTTTAATGACTGTATGAGCCCTGTTAAAGAAGTAATTCCTTCATTTTCTGCTTGCATTAGTCAGTACATACACACTCAAAGGATAAATCCAGATCATAAAAATGTGCATGGAAATTACTTTGATTAATTAATAGATGGCACTAGCATTTCGTGTTAAACATGACATGCCTTTTGACTTTCCAGAGACTCACAACTGACAGCTCTGTAGATAGATACGTGCTTGACTTCACACACTAATTAACTAGTAACAATTAAGTTCCTATTAGAAGATTTGATTCTTCGATTGTTAAAGTATTCGATCTTGTCTGATTTGTACAAAGCTGAACCATTGAATGATGTAATCAATGATTTGCAAATAGTATAAATATTAAACTTTATATTTTTTAAATCATTCGATGTTGATTTCTATCAACCTTTGAATTTTGAACAATGTGAAAATGAATATAATTATCATCAAAATATAAAGATGAAAATACAGTATTAGTGAAAAAAACATTGTTACCAAAAAATTCTCTCATAAATTTGATTCCAATTTCAAGTAGCCATATTTAAGATAGCATTTCATACATTTTAATTAAAAGCTATAAATGCTTCTAATAAAAATACAGTCCACAATATTTGTATAAATGCATTTTTTAAAAATCAATGTGTTTACTTTTGTTTTACAAAGTTAACCCCTTTTGCAAAAGCTAGCTTATGTACATAATTTTAACAATTACCTACACATTTTGCTTTATAAAGTTATTCTTTACTTCTTGAAATAAATCAGTTTTCAAATCACCCCCCAAAAAAACTTAGAAGGCAGCATGAAAAATTTTACATGTTTTTAACTTTTGTTTACACCATACTGTGCACTGAAATTTTAATTAACATTTAAGGATTATTACCTTTTTTATCTGTTTTGATACTGAGGACTAGAGGTTCCAATGAACCTTCTTTATTTTTTCCAAGGCCTTCGCCTGGATTCCAGCCCATTTTCTTAAGCAAACTCATTCCTTTTCCTTCAGTAACTGGGGCAGCTTGAGTAAATATGTCCTGAAAACATTCATATATACTTTAATTTGCAACCTAAATTTTCTTCAAATATTCCCATACCATAAAATAAGTAGTTTATACTGAAAGTTTTTATAGATCTTTTCTGTTATAGAATGATAAGTACCAGACAGGTTCCTCTAGAAAAATATAGGCACCAATGTCAGCAAGAAAACATACTTTTTCATCTGCTCATTGCCACTGTGGAAAAAATTATAAAATATAAGAAATATAGAATATTTTCTGTTATAACACACATCAAACAATTTAGCAGCAAGACATATTTTTATTCTCTTGTTTTCAAAGTAAGTATTGTCAATAGAGTGTTTTAAAAGTATGTCACTCTATTTTATTCTTTGTTTATTGTAATATGAGAAACAGATATTGTTTATGCCAAAAAATGTGCGCTTGATCAAACTGGATTCATAAGCAGTGCTATCTGCTTCACATGGCTTCCAGTGCTTCAAACTTTATTTTTTGAAAATAATTTTGAACACACATAATGATTTTCATGTCAGTGATTAAAGATGAAATATCATAAGCGTTGTGTCTTCTTTTATACACCCACAATGAGAACTGTGCAAGGTCTGTATATTAAAATTGAAAATTATGATTGGTCACCTAAAGTTTCAGGTCATGCAGCATTGGATGAATCTTTCTCTGTCAAAAACATTAACTGAAGCAAGGATACTGCATGGACATTTTTCATATTCTTATATGAATTTTTTTACATTGTTTTGTATGTATTTTCCATTTATATTTTCTTTCTGTGTGCATACATCTATTTTAATAATATATTAAATCATTTTACTATTCAATGCATTGCCTATTTTTTCAGTTATTTAATAATTCTGACTAACTGTATCCTTTTCAGCTGTTTCTGAAAATTTTGTTTCTTTGTTGTAATCTTGAAGGCCTCTTTACTTTGCATATTTTTAGTCCAAATAGCATTAGCCCAGAAGGACTATTAATTTCAAAATGGCATTTTGCGTCGATTCGCTTTTCAAACCGTTGCCACCAAATATTATATTTAAAGAAAGTAAATAATGAAGAATTTGCCTGACTACATGAACACTCGCACTGTGAAGAAACAACGGTACCTACAGCCATCAAGTTTTGAATATAGTAGTTCTCCAACCAAACATGGGCACTTGGAAGCCAGACTTTTGAATTTGTTATTATCTATTTAAAATTTTGTAAAATTTTAATGAATTTTTGATTAGCAAATTCAACAATTTCAAAGTGAGCAATAGCAACAATGTATGGGAAAAAACACATTTATCTCCAGTGCGCGAGACTGTTCATTAGAAATTCTAAAGACATGCCGTTTTTAAATATTTTATGATATTGCTGCTGAATTGAATTTTATGTGTTTTAAGTGTGAAGAACATTTATACTTCATCAATAAAGGCAACACGCAAAACGTTAAAAAATGCCCTTTTGGGCGTAATATAAAATCTGAAAGCTTTCAGATTTTTTTTCTTTTCTTTTTTAATATTTTACAATAACCAATCAATTATGCTTTGAATATCTTGAGTCTACCATTTCAGCACAGGAAAAAGCTTATGTGGTCTAAATATCCATTAAAAACACCACCTTTCTGGAAAAGGAACCTCACACTAAGGTTTGCTCAGCAGAATACTCAATTTTTCATTCCTGGCATTACAGTTGATAATATAAGCATGTTGTTTTTGCCATTGCTTTTAACATTCTTAATAGTATGAGCAATATAGTGCTGCAACCCTTGTCAATTGACAAGAATGAAACTCTCAAAAAATGCCTGAATTAGATATACTTAGAGAGTCAACAGCAGGAGTAGTCAACTTTTTTATACCTACCGCCCACTTTGTAGGTAATAAAATTTCCTTACACCCCACCAATTTCACAGCACTTAGTTTAGCATAAATGCAAAGTAATTTTTTGAGTGAAGGCTTAGTAAAAATATATATTGCTAAATTTATCCATTCATTTATACTTTGCTTATATTTATGAGAGACAGAAAACTTATGTCATGCATAGCTAGATGGGATATTGGTTCCAGCAAAACTGCTTCAGCTACGAAACCTTCAATGGTAGGTAAAGGAGGAGAACTTTCATCATCAGATGGACAAAAGCCTCTACTGCCCACCATTAAAGCTTAACTCACCTGCTAGTGGACAGTAGGGACCAGATTGACCATTCCTAGTCAAGAAACAAAAATTCACACCTTGTTTGCAATATCTTATCCTAATAACTAGTTATTATAATATATATCTTAAGTTTTGAAAAATTTTATGACAGCTGATGAAAAAAGCACTTCTTCACTAGAAGAATCAAGCTGACACATATATCTTTCTAGAGAAAACTGTTTGCCCTATGCTATCCCACAATGGAAAATATTTAAGTTTATCTGTAAAAAATCTCAGAAGTAAGCTAAAAGCTAACATAAATTTTTAGTTATTTTTAAATTAAAATGTTTTTTCCGGTCTAAAATATAAGTAATTAAATTTAAGTGTGATGTAAAAATTGCCGATTAAGCATTAATTAGTGTTAGAGCACAATTTTTTTTCCTAATAAAAGGTAGATGTGGATATTTGAAACAGTTCTTCATCATTAAAGCATAGTTTTCTATAACATTATAAGTTAACTATAAGTAGTTATAAGTGAACTGTGAAAGAAGTGCACCTGTTTTAAAATTTTCTAAATTATTATACCACATAGCTGACATTTAAAATAAAGAGCCTACAAACTACATGTTCATTAGATAAAGGCAAATATTAGAAGAACAATAATGTCACTACAATAAATTAAGAAATTATGAAGTTACTTTATTTTTTCAAATACCACATATAGTATTGCTTTACTATTATTCATTACTGGAAGTTAAAATATGAATACAATTGGATAAATGATTTTTCTTTCACTTTTGTTATTACATACGAACATAATGTCCATTGAATTATATAAAAATCATATAATAGCTATTATTCTGAAATGTTGCATTTCAAAAAGATTAATTATAAATAATGTCCTATTTTTCAGAAAGGAAGAGGAAATAACTAGAACATTTTAGGGACTACTACAAATTAAAACTGTATCTTGTATGTATAAATTAAAATTATATTATATATACTGAACTGCACCAAAAAATATAGTTTTTTAATTATTTATTTCAATAATTCTTTAATGTAATTTATTTTCAAAGTTCTCTTGGTATTTATTTCAAATCTTTCTCTGACAATTATAATTCCTTACGAAAAATGTTTTTAAAGCTTTTAACATAATGAAAGTCACACAACAAGAACACTATCAGATTAAAAATTAACATATTTCATTTCTAACATGAATATCACTTTTCTCTAAAATGCAACGTATATTAAACACAAATCTGTCAGCTATTAAAATTATAAAAATTGTAGAATACAGAACAAAAAAGCATAAAATTATAAAACTAAAAGTTAGACTATTTTATTTTAATCATAAGTGGTATGACTAAACATATGTTTATAGGTTAAATTATAAGAATACTACAAAGTATATAAAGACTAGCTCTGTGAGAAGAATGCCTTCATGGAGAATTTTCTAAGGGAAACTAACTCAGATTAACATCAAACACAAGAAAAACCTTAAAAACAAACCAGCCAGCTTTTTTACCTGAGACCCATAGACAATTACCACTATTCAGCAGTCTTAACCACTTGTGGGGCAAAATTTTAATTAAATTTGCTTGTCAGATAACCTCAAAGCTTGAACTCGTGTTTATTTAATTTTTTTATATGTTATATATCTATAACTCGTAACTATTGAATATCTAACTAACTAACATTTTGTTCCTCTAAATTTCCATCAGAATGGCTGGCACACGTTTGGCAGGATATCTGCCAAATTTTACAGTCCAGGAGAGCCAATTTTCGAGTTTGATAGGAAAACACAAAGTATCTAAAAATGATACTCAATAACCATTAAAATGAAGGTATAGTTGAAATCTGAAAAAACACTTTTCTATCTCAATACTATATGTTTTATCTTAAAGCAGCTAATATCTAATGAGACATTTCATTTTGATAAAATGTAATGAATGAAGCCTTCCAGTTGCATAATATATTATGCATGCCTAGTTTATAACAGTCTAAACTTATCTGGTAGTTTTACAAGTGATGTGTTTGGCATGTTTTATGTAAATTTATGCACATTCAGCAATTTGAAAAAAATTTCAAGTAAAAATTCACAAAATACGAGTATTTTCAACAATGTAGAAGAAACATAAACTTTAATTGGAAAGGAATGAAATTTTTTTCCTTATAATACTGTAATTTACTGCTTTTAATTTTTAAATTATTTAATTTCAAAATGTATATTTTTACAGTTTTATCCAAAGAGTGAAAGATACTTGCTGCAAATAGTAATTACCATCATAATATAACTCATCACAAAAAGTGTTATTAAAAAATAATATACAAATTTCTATAGGAAAAGAATTATCAAGTTACAGGAAATATGATATATGAACATTATAATACATAATAGCAGATAATAAAAATAGTATCAATTTACAACTCAAATGGAAATTAGTACTTATAAATAACATAAAAATTCCACACATGATGAAATAATGCAGTATGGGGAAATTTTAAATTATTTTCACTCTTGCAAGTTGAATAACAATCAAAGATTAACATATTTTTGTAGTTTAAGAGATTAATGTTTAGCATTTTTTGAAATAAAAAGTTTCACTATTTGAAAGCGCTAATATAAGTTTTATATTAAGTTTAATATTTCAAAACTATTAACTCCCACATACTTTTAACAATTTATTTCGCACAAATTATAATATAAAACATATAAAAAGCATGCTGCAATACTGAAGAGTGTCATAATTTCACTTCTTACCAATATATCTATCCACTTTTGAGATGCTTCTCCAAAATCCATTTGAAGATGTTGAATTCTGAACCTGCTAAAGATGTACTAGGAGGAGGCCTGCAACAAGCTCTCAATTTATGTTTATGTTATCGACCACAAAT